CGTTTCTAAGAAAACAGTTACATTTTATATACCTTGTACAATATGTACAAGTATCGCTCACTTATAGAATATTACCATCCCTTGATATCAGCACTCCCAGTAGGGAGTGCAGTGCAGTACAGTAGTATAATACCAAGAACGCTAGTTGCGTTTCCTGACTGAATGACAATAGTTGAAGGACTTTAAGTACAGGTTTTCCACCCGCTTTCAGATGCTCCGCTTTAATTCCATCCTCGGTCGGAACCTTGCTATTTTTAAAGTATTGGAGAACAGAACAGAACTTTAATGCAGGCAATATGTTTAAAAAAGGGATACAAAATTTCACGCACGCACACACACACACACACACACACACACACACACACACACACACACACACACACACACACACACACACACATGAACACACGTACGCACGCACGCACGCACGCGCACGAACTAATACACACGCACGCATGCACACGCACACGCACACTCACACACACCAACAGAATAGACGATTGATTACATTATTAACGGTCAACATTAAAATTATAATTTAACGGTCTTCTTTCGTTTGAATTTAAAATGGGTTTAAGTAAAGTTAAAGTAAAGAGAATTAATGAAGAATTTCACAAAATATAATAACACTGTTTTCACTTTGAACGAAGTGGTTTATAAGAAAATGTATCAAATTGTGTACCTTGTTTTAAATCATTCATAAATTTTGAATTTGTGAGCTTAAAATATATAATATTCTAATTTCCAATCACAAAGCTCAACGAATGAATTAAAACTCACTTTGGTTTTGTTTCGTTCCAAATGAATAGATACTTTCCCAACGTTTTAATTCATAAATTACAAGTGTTCAAGGCTATTCTTTCATTAATCTTCTACGTAGCGCGACTTTTTTTTAATGAATTTAACTATGCCCATAAGTATAAAACTAGCGATCCGCCCCGGTTTTGCACTAGTGATTTCTGGATCTCGACAACAGCGCCTCCTACCGGGTCCAAATGTAAAACCAAACCATCTCTCCGTTTTTGAGTTTTAGCGAGACTAATGACCAGTCCACACAGAGACGCGACGCGACGCGACGATGCTTGAAGAGGCCAGTGGTTTCGCACCATGGAGCGCGCCGCGCTGCCGCGAGACGTATCACGACGTCGCGAGGCAACTCATGAAATCGCTAGCAGCTCACCTCTCTTGGACGCTGCGCTTACTAACGAAGCGCCGCGTCGCTACGTCTACTGAAGAAGCTCCGCGCCGCTACTTCGTGATGTGTCGCTCTATGCCGCGAGGCATAACGAGGCGCAACGCGGAACATTTTCGAATTATCTCAATAATATCTATATATGTATCTTTTTGTTTAGTAAATTAAATTAAATTTTTATCACTATCTTAAAGCCGCGTAACGATTATGTGCTCCAAGAGGTCGAACAATGGCGCGCGTTCCAGCCGCGCGAAATGGATACCGCCTTGGAACACGCGCCAAATTGTTCCTTGGAACGCTCAAACTTGGAGCGGGCCGATCTAAAGCTGAACGCACATTTGTCCGCGCCGCACGCGTATTATTTGATTTTTTTAGCATCGATTATCAATATGTATTCTTAGCGATAAATTATTTAAATACTGAACTAACAAAAAATAGTTAAATTTAATTAAAAACCCAATTATACCTGATTACTTAATTATCAATAAAAATACTTACCTCAAACATACAACAAGTCTTTTCTTCTGGTTCAATTGTATTGTTCAATACGTACTGAGGTCGTGTCGGATTTCCATCAATAGAGAGCCGTTGCGGAATAGAGAGTGCACCTGTGTTTACGCACGCACTTATGTTTTTTTTTATAGGATAAGGGTGACAAACGAGCACACAGTCCACCTGATGGTAAGTGGTTGCTGCGGCCCATAGACATCTACATCTCTCCTCGATTACGAATCAAAATGCAGATGCGATGTCACCCATGAGGACTAAGATGGAATGCCTCATTTCCAGTAAAAAGGGTCTCCGGTTCTCTACACTCACCATACGAAACACAGCAGCATTAAGCTGCTATTTTACGCTGGTATTCTGTGACAGCGTGGTCCTTCCCCGGTCGAGCCGACCCATTCGTGCTACAGCTATACTAGAAATATAGCTGCAGCATGGCTCTACCGCGTGTTCTATAATCTTATGTTGTGGAGATGACTAGTCTCAATTGAGACTTAAATTTGGCCTTAAAATCGGTATACAGGACATTAATATTATTATGGTAAGTGTCGAGATCCCCTTTTTACTAATAATTCCCGTAGCTTTCAACACATCTGCAATTTGATTCGTAATCGAGGAGAGATGTAGATTGTCTATGAGCTTAATAGCATTTACTTACCATCAAGTGGACATCTGTTTCTTTGTCACCCTTGCCTCAATGATTTATGAAAACCATTTCTGAATTTTCCGGAAGCTTTCAACTGCGCATTACATTGTCTTATGTTATCATACAAACACAGATACATTGTCCTATGTGATCACACAAAGACAGATACATTGTCTTTTGTGATCACACAAACACAGATACATTGTCTTATGGGATTACATAAACACAGATACATATGTCTTATGTGATCACACAAACACAGATACATTGTCTTATGGGATCACACAAACACAGATACATTGTCTTATGTGATCACACAAACACAGACACATTGTCTTATGTGATCACACAAACACAGATACATTGTCTTGTGTGGTCACACAAACACAGATACATTGTCTTATGGGATCACACAAACACAGATACATTGTCTTATGTGATCACACAAACATAGATACATTGTCTTATGTCATCACACAAACACAGATACATTGTCTTATGTGGTCACACAAACACAGATACATTGTCTTATGTGATCACACAAACATAGATACATTGTCTTATGTGGTCACACAAACATAGATACATTGTCTTATGTGATCACACAAACATAGATACATTGTCTTATGTGGTCACACAAACACAAATACATTGACTTATGGGATCACACAAACGCAGATACATTGTCTTATGTGATCACACAAACATAGATACATTGTCTTATGTGGTCACACAAACACAGATACATTGTCTTATGGGATCACACAAACGCAGATACATTGTCTTATGTGATCACACAAACATAGATACATTGTCTTATGTGATCACACAAACACAGATACATTGTCTTATATGATCACACAAACACAGATACATTAATTAGTCTGATCCTACTCGTTTCAGATGTAAAACGCTATTGCGATAAGATCTTAGGTTACAATCAGAGAAACGGGGACAATCATAAACAGCAATTTGTTTTCGCACAAATGTAGCTTCGATTGGAATTTTTTAAAAAGTCAGGAGCGTTTTAGGTTAATCCCAAGAATTTCTCTTAGCGTTAGCCTAAAATGTGTTGTTTTACATACATAAATTATCCATGTGCAAACATCCAGACCCGAAACAATAATTTGCGGGTGCTCAAATAGATGTTCCGTAGGGTATCTGTCCCTGCAGCCCGCAGTGCCTCAGTCTATCGCTGTACAAAGCCGTAATTTTCTTTGTTCTGTGATCAGCGCAACCCCAACCCAAATAGAACCCAAGATCTATTGTGTAGTCGCAATACTCAGCTCAATAAATAAACGGAATAATACGAGAATGTATTTTATCTTTTGAAGTGACAGTTATACGAGTATCTATGGTTATATGAAATGTCGAATTTATTAAAAACTAGCGGAAGTATCACATAACGTGAAGGAAACGAGACTCCATAGGTTAACATTTTTATTGAACGCAATTTATAATTTAATTATATGTATAATAGACCAGTACACTCCTACATTTTATGATAACAGAAATCGCTTTAAAATAAATTCCAGCTATTCTGTAAATATCTCATGAGATTATAACATAGATTAAAACAATACAGCAATGAGGACTATATATTATGTGGACTGTACTAACGATAATGTCTAGTTAGTATATAAATTCCATTTTTATTTTTTTTATATTCTTAATTTACCTCTACCATAAATACACTACAGCTTAATTTATTAATAAATACATTTGGCACTAAAGCGAGTATTTTACGTAAATTATAAAGTAATTTTAAAATTTTATTTAAAAGCTTTAAAGTATTCGATGCAATATATAATCTTAACAAACCAAATTGTAGTATTAATGTCGCATGCTCGAGCTGGATTGCATGCACCATTAAATAAATGAAAAATGTCATTATGTTATTCATTCTTTTAAATAATACTTCAAGCAGACGTGGTAGTAGTTATTGTGAAAGTTCAGACATTCAATAATGTAAAGAGCTGGTACCTTTTCATACTAAGGTACGTGAGGGTAATATGCTCACCTTATGCTTTGCCGCCCTTTATAACCAAAGCTAGGAGGAGGATAGAGACAAAAACACAAAGTCGAATACTATAACTTATATATTAAGAAAAAAATTGCAAACAAGCTTTGGCAATAATTAGGAATACTTCGAAACTTAAAAAAACTAACTACACTACACAATACTAAAATCGTCTAAAATATTTACTATAATATCAGCCGTCAAAATGGTGATGATAAAGCAGCGCCCTTTTGACGATCTATTATTTAATTGACTGACGAAGAGCTATCGTATTACAAAGGCATATTTGCAAACAAGGTTGTAGTTTTGGAGTTATAAGAAAGTGACCATATTAACCGGATGACCATATTACCCTCACGTACTATAATTTAAATTATCAATACATATCTAACTTGTCGGTTTCTTTTGCCACTTAAAGAAAAATATATTAAATACTCTGCTACAATTTTATTCCTAAGAGTGATAGAAACTGTTTCTAGTTAAATTTGCTTAACAATTTCATCTGAATATATAAAAAGACAATTATTATTATGTAATTTTTATTAAATTAGTTATTTTGAAAAAAAAAAGTGAGTATTTCTCCGGCCTGTTATGTCAGCTTGATGGAACGAAAAGGAGGCGATCGGCGAACGTAGACTTTAGTTCTCGTAGGGGGATGAAGCTGGATGCGCCCAAAATCCTGTGTAAATAAATTTTTACTAAATCGTAATACCTCATAATAGCAATATTTTATGATTTAATTTAAAATTTTTTGTAGCCTCAAAAACATTGGAAGGAAGAATTGTCTTTATTGATCAAGTTCCAAATTACAAGTTGTGCTCTCTTTGATAAATTCGTAGAAATGGTGTTAATACTTTAGAAAGATTTAGAAATATACTATACAATTTCACACTTTACCGTAACAGGCTATCAAAGGTCCACTAAAACATAGCCTCCATCATTGATTGCCTCATAGGAGGGGGAAACCATAGATAATTTAACATTTAATTATTTTTATATATTATTGTTCTATAACAGCTTCTAACATTGCACTGTCCAGACACGGTAGTTCTGTTGTATGATTGATATAATCTCCACGCCTAGCGGGCAGATTGACAATCGTAGAACCAGAAGTATCGCACCTTTGACGCTGCTCTTCGTCTCGGGTCTGGATATTTTAGATCTTACTTATAATATACACAGATTCCTAGCCAGACATGAAGCTCTACTATGTATTACTATATACGTAATAGGGCTTGCTTCATCACTGGCTATATTGATACCATCCCCTTACTAACAACATGTTGCTCGAACTTGGAACTAAAACTATTCGGTAGGGTTATGAAAATGCGCGTTTAAAAAAAACTATGCCCTTGCAATAGCCTATCTCGCGAGGTACGTTTTATGGTGATGCGTTCATGACCAAATTGTTTTATATATTTTTTTAATTAACTAAAAACCGTTACTCATGAAATAGGCACATAATATCTCCTGTATCATGGTGGTGTTTTACATAAATAAATTTAATCCAGATCATTTGTTTGTAGGCCATTTAAAAAGGTATAGTTAATCCATTTCACGATGAAGTTTTGACTTTGGTTGTTGTTAACCGTGCACATACACATTGTGTTAGTGTGCGTAGGCCTCGGGAGCGCTACTCCCGAGCGCTTGCAGCATACGCACACTAACACAATGTGTATATGCACAGCGAACAACAGCCAAAGTCAAAACTTTATCGTGAAATAGAATAACTATACCGTGTAATGACAGCGTAAGAGAATTCACTACCTCATTTCGTCTCGTGTGTGCCATAAGAGGAGTTAAGAGGGAAATCAAACAGGAATTAGGCTGTAGCATTTCTTCATAACAGCTCAAAATAATAACAAAATGTGGTATTAAAATAATAAAAAGCCTACAAACTATGGCAAACATCCCTGACAGAACAAACTTTTGACAAGCTATAATGTGTGAACAATTAATATAAATACATATTTGCTTGTTGCAGGATTCCAAACCGCAGTTGACAGTATCGCACTCAAACGCTTAGCTCTCAAATCAAGCAGTCAAATTCTGTCATTCCGTTACGACAGCTACAATATTCTCTTAGATGTATAAATAATGCGTCAAATGGTTTATACTGGCTCAAAACATAACGTATTTAGTGGGTGCATTATGGTTTGTTGCTTAATGGTAGAAAATGGCTCGGTAGTATTAGACGGGCATCAAGATAGCAAAAAAGCCCAAATAAAGTAAGTTTATTTTAAAGTAAATTATTTCTAATTATGAAAGTGAATGGCAGTTGCTTTTTATACAAAACAAACCTCGTTTTCCAACATTCTGTAAAAACACCCTGTTGGCAACAGCTTGTCGCTGGTTGGCCTCACGCATCTGCTTACGAGCCACCTCAAGTAGCAACCGCTGTCGCAGCACCTCCATGGGGTTGTTGATGGAGAGCGAAGGCATCTTGCGTTTAGGTCGCCCACGTCCCTCGCTCCACTCCTCTCTCTGCTTGAACCCCAAATATAACATGAAAACTTTTTTGATCTCCAGTAATTTACGATTTTAGAAAGTCGCTACCTCATTAATATTACTTTAATAATCTGAGAAGATTCTCTTCTCAAAAGCAAGAGCAGCCCTGTGCCCAGTAATGGAACGTATATAGGCTGTAACTTTAAAACTTTATTAATATTTTAAGTATACGATGGTGGTGGATTCTCGTAGCCATTTCGACAAATTTTTGTGATACATATTATGTCCCCGTTTTACACAAAGGTAGCTGTGCCCCGTGCAACGCTTATGCGGTTAGGTACTCAGAGATAAGCTAGGATGTAGATGTAGTGCCATGGATGTAGACGTGGGGCAACTGCTACAAAACCAAAAACCAAATGTTTGAGATTCGAACCAAGCACCCGCAACATAACATCCATAACAGTTAACATAAGCCGTTTTCAATTATACGAAAAGTTTAAATGGAAAACGTTAATTACCTCGTTTTATTTATATATCATACTTCCCAAAAGAATAACTGGTAGTCTTTGTTAGAAAATACCATTTTCATGGAGTTTTAATTGAAAACATGCATATATTTCAATTTTCTTGTTTCAGACAAAATGGGGAAAGCTAATAATGTAACTGATATAGCTAATTAAGATTGAATTGCGAAGGATGAGTTTTTTTTTTACTAAAATTGCATTATAATAATATATGTTTCAAAACATGTTACTATTGCTTGTATAATAATTATTACCGTATTTATCACTGAACGCATCAGATGTTGCCTAATTATAACAGAATGACAGCCCTCAATAAGAAGATATATTTTGTTGATTGAATTATGTTTCTCATCTTCTTTCATAAGAATTAGCCAATGTATTACGAGATATATATTGTAACAATATTAATGGTAATACGATATAAGCTCTTAAGTATCCGAACACTAAATAAGTCTACAAGCAAAACTAGATTGGAAGGAAAATTTCGTTTGGTATGACATAAAAACAATTTTTATTAAATATAATTTTCTTGGAACATAGAATTATCTTAGTGTTCGTAGTTTATGATGGCGTAAAACCGTTCTTAAGGGATATAACAGTTTTAGAATGATATTTAAAATAAAACAACTTATTAATTTAGATTCCATTTATTATAATATTTAATAGACTTTTGAATTTTTTTGGCTCAAATAAATTATTAAAAACTAGAATTATGACTAATTGAATATAATTTTCGAAATATTTTACTCTTGACCACACAATACATAACAGGTAACTTGACTTAGTAAACAAATACATTTTACATCTACAGACAGTATTATTAAATATTTATAGATAGTTAATAATTATGAATATTGACTATTTACGAGTACTACGCAGCGAGTTACTTGAAATCTAATATCTAATAATCGCAAAATGTTAAGTACAATGAAACTAAGCTAAATTTTAAATTTAACTAAGTTGATGATGATTATAATTTACAAAACACTAATTTTTTCTTTATTAAACATTAAATAATAAGTAGCAAGTAGCAAGCTTTTAAATAACATTCTTTGGGGTCAGTGTTGTTTGTCATAAGTTAAATAGCTACGAGTACATATTAGATTCGGTACACTGAGGGCTTCTTATAAACATTTCCTTGTTCATCAGACTGGCTCCACTGGAATCCTGTAATTTATAGTTTAGTTAATTAACTAGCTTACCAATGTAAAATAATCGTAAAATTTAAATGCGAATAACATTTTTTGAGATTAAAAAATGAAAAATAATGATTCTTGTCATTAAACACTTAAATCTTATTTGTAAGCTACAGTTCATTGTGCAGGTTTGCACATACCTCGTTTGCCGATGCCGTTCAAGAAGTTCCTGTTGGCGACAGCTCGCAGGGCCTGAACTTTACGCTCCTGTTCGAGGCTCAGCTTGTGGCGCAGCACCGACATGGGCAGATCGATGGACAGCGATGGCATGCGACGCTTGGTTCGCCCGCTTTCACCCTTTATCCCCATGTACACACATATGCACACTTTAATTAGCTCACGGGTAATGTTGACTACATGACTTAAGTTGAGTAAATTTTATGTTTTTATAGCAATAATAATAACGTCCTCCAGACTGGAATTCGGGTCACGGCGGCCAATCTCAATAGAGACTAGCCGTCTGCACAGGACAGCATTATAGTGCTCAAGTTTGTGCGCAAGCACAGGTGCACTCTCTATTCCTTTATTCTCATAGTCTGACACCACCGGAGAGAGATCAGGCACAGGACCTACGGTTTTACGTGCTTTCTTAGGCACGGGGGTAAAACACCACCACCTTCTGACTCCCGGTTGCTACTACGTTTCTTGATAGAAAAACCCGATAATCGATTTTGGCACGACTCGGGACTCGAACCCAGGACCAGGGCTGCATTTACGGCCACTAGCCCAATGAGACAGTTTTTATATTAAGAAATAACTAATTACAATGTTAGCCGATCCGTCAATCTGGGTCAGTCTCGCTTGCATGGTGGTTATAGTCATTCTATATGTATATAATGTGGGAGAAACTTGTTCAGCAGTGAAGTGATTATGTGATGATAGTGAATTATAGGTAGTTTAAAATATAGTGTTGTTTTGATCACTATTATTTTTAGTATAAATATACATTACACATTATTTACATTCACATTACTAACAGGGATAGTGAAATCAAAAACTAGTTTTATGGTTAAATTAATTTATTATCGCATACAAATGCATTATAAAATTACGTAACATTCAAAATAAATCTACTAATTTCTTGTTATTTTGTATAACAATAATCATTATACTAAGGTTGTTACTATAGTAACTACATTACTATAAATTTAACATATTCAACCAAGGGACGGTAGAGATTCCGGTTTTTAATACAGCTTAGTTCTTGAACTTGCAGTCCGCGCTGGTCCAGGGATCTAAAAATTAAGAAATTACATTTTATAATCGCATCAAATTACTCAATAGGATTTCATCTAAACTTTACAGTGTAGCAAAAATTTACTTATTTTTTAAATTGAAAATACGATCAAACTACAAAATTGGGATATTTTTATGTGCTTTTAGTAGATTTATATTTGCTGTAATTAATGTTGACTGACCTCGTTTGCCGACACAGTTGAGGAAATCTCTGTTGGCGTGGGCCAGCCTCTCCAGATAGTTGTTGTACGCTCCCCGTTGCAACACTTCCACGGCGGGGTACACGGAGAAAGCACTTCGAGAACGCTTCGCCTCATTACCTTTAACCTTCGTAGACACTTTATAATTTTAACGACACCGAGTAAATGCACGAGTATACGAGACATAATAAGATTAGACATAAGTACTAAAGTAATTCAAATATTAATTTTATGTAAGTATTTTTGTACGAGTACTTATGTCAATTTGTTATTAATTACTGTGACAGTTCAATTTAGTGTACATTAAGAAGTGTAACAATGCAATAAGGTAACGATTTAATTAACTGTATTAATTACAGAACACTTTTATTATTAAAGGACTTGAAAATCTCGGGCGATTAAAAGCAGAAAATTTTACCGAACCGAATCGGAAATTTTTGCCCGAACATGAATTGTCTCAATGGCCCAATTAATTAATTTGCTTAACTGAGATGTAGAGGCCGCATACTTTTTTACATTAACCTCTTATACAATAACGTGAATTAAAATGTATAGATTTTGCAAAATAGTTAAAATTTAAATATTATTCAATTTACCTGTGATTCCCTTGGAACATCAGCAAGCAGGTAGAGCCAAGGCTCAGCAGCTGCGTAGCGCCCGCCCATCGATGGCACAGCATTCAGGTTCTCCTATTAAATAAATGAATTGTTAGTTTTCTTTATTTGTATGATAACACTTTTGTATTATTGCTTTTTTTCTTCATTATGGCATAGCAAAAGTCTACTGCTGAACATAGACCCACAGCCCAAAAGTTGCCTTGTATTTACCGCAGTCGCTTGGCAGTTGGTTTGGCAATCGCAGTTTTTTTTATTATTTTGTGTTATTATCAAGAAGATGCTGCCGCCTACTTTCTGTTAGACGTCCCTCTGTCACCTCTTACGACATCCACGAGATGACATAGGGCGGTGGATCCTACAAATATAAAGAGCTTGAAATTAGAATCGCCGTGACGTTAGAAATATGTTTGATTAGCGAAGCTCTCTATACATCGGTCAACATTAGTTATTCTCTATTACCCCATGACAGTCTACTTGTGATTTTTTTCTCTTTTTTTTGTTTAGGGTCTTTCACTTTAACTTCTGAACTTGGGCCTGTCATTGTAGGAGAGAATTTGCGTTGACAGGCGGATAGCAAATCAAAGTTATCAACATCTAAACTAAAATAATAATTATGTTCGGCTTCTAACCAATTTTTATCATGACGTTGTCTTTGACGTTGTCTTTAGCCCTTCACAAGTCCACTGCTGAACATAGGCCTCCCCCAAGGAATACCCCAAAGCGCAATCCTGAGCCACCTGCATACATCGACTTCATGTATCGCTCTAATCTAGGGACTCGTAATGTCTTAATTTAAAAAAGGTACTCTCCAATTTATTTTAATCTGAAGACCGGTTCGTCACTTTTTTGCATAACCGTTTACTTATACGTAAACATTTTACTAAAAAGAAAAGTTTAAGCTTTAAGAAAATGTGTACAAATATGAAACTCATGACTGAATATACTTATAGGATTATAACACGGAATATTTCGCTTACAGAATGTTTTAGCATAATTATATAATGTTTATGGACGAATGGATTCCTAAAAAAATTTCAAGTACTAAATACCCACATGTAAAACCTCTATAAAAACAGATAGAGATATTTATCCTGTATCGAGTAAATTGCAAAATGGATCATCCATACCTGGAACAAATATTTGTTGGTCATAGCAATAATACTTGTCCCTTGCGATATTCGAACACTCGGTTAGCGAAGCTAAAAAGTTCATTATTTTTAAATTTGTAAAAATTTTGAGGTAGATATCTTTAATATTTTCTCATCATTCCGGCTAATGTATCTATACAAATAAATAAAATTGAAGTGTCTGTTTGTAATGTCAAAATTACAGTTTTTTACTAAATGCATATGAAAGTATATACGGTACTAATAACAAAAATACAATTTTAAAGTTTTTGACTGTCTGTCTGTCTGTCTGTTTGTTCCGGCTAATTTCCGAAACGGCTGGACCGATTTTGATAGGGTTTTCACTGGCAGATAGCTGATGTCACAAGGAGTAACTTAGGCTACTTTAATTTTAGAAAAATGATTAGGGTACCGCGTAAATAAATTAAAACCCCAAATAACACGCGGGCGAAGTCGCGGGGATCAGCTAGTAATAAATATAAATAATAATATCTTATATAATATATAAATTCTTTCTTTAACGTCTCTTTGTCTGTGAATTAAAGTTAAATTTAATATAAACTTACGTCTTCAGGGGCAGATGGGTCGATCTGTTCCCAGTCAATAGCGGAGATTGGAGCAAGTGCGCTACCTGAAGGTCCTGCCGCTGCGAAAGCTCCCATCGCCGCCACAGCAATGCACCATACTGCCCACCACATCTGAACCAAAATATATTGTAAGAAAAATATTTAATAATAATATTTCTAAAATAAATAATAATAATAATAATTTTCATTAAATAATAATCTTTACACTCGTATATAAAAATTACGTGTCACATTGTTTGTCCGCGATGAACTCCTAAACTACTGAACTGATTTCAATTAAATTGTGCACACTGTGTGCAGTTTGGTCTAACTTGGAGGATAGGATAGTCTTTTATCCCGATAAGTGACCCTCAATAATTTTTTTATTGTGAATTTAAGGATTTTTTATAGGAAGGGTTGTCGTAAAGGCCAGAACGTCTACCTGGCCAGCTAGTAGTATATAAATCTTTAAAATATTAATATAATAAATAATCATGTAATATACATATATAAAAAAAATATATTTGTAAAAATTAGATTGTGGTAAAACTTTGTCAAATATGTAAAAAAGATACGAAAGAAATTAAGTGTTACGCAACTTCGATAGAATTCTGAAGTTTTTCTAAAAATAAGAACTTATTTTCAAAACTAAATAACATTTTCATGCCGAGTTAAATCCCGCCACGAAAAATTGTTTTTATCAAGCCTATTAAGTTGGCGTGGTGAGCTTTTAGAGCGAGCGGGACTTGTCAGCTTTCCGATGCGCGTCGGATATTTGTCGTCCAAAGATTATAACACTCCGCAATCGCTGCCACAGAGGTGTCAGTAATCGATTTTATTTATACAAGTTAGGGATGCCACTAAAATGAGTGTGATAAATTATCATTTAACTGAAACTATTAGATGTATCGATATTTTTTTATAGAATAAATAGTCAACTTGATGGTAAGAGGATACTGTGTTCCATAGACATCTACTACTTAAGACCAAGATGAAATACCTAGTTTCCGATAAAATGGTATCCGGTTCTCTGCACTCACCATACGAAACACAGCTGCTATTTTACGTTGGTAATCTGTGAGAGCGTGGCCCTAGCCCGGACGTGCTGACCCATTCGTGCTACAACCATAATGTAGCTGCAGCGTGGCTCTACCACTTAAAAAACTATAAATTCCACAACTGTGGGGCCTGTTTTAGTGGAGAGGATTCACTTTAATCGTCACGTTACCGTTGCAGGTAAACAATGAATTTTCAACACAAGTAAAGTTGTACATCATCTTATAATTGCAGTTTATCACAAGTTCACTGCTGAATATTAGGTCTTTTCCCCAAATAACATTAAATATCTGCTTTTTCTCCTTTTTTAAACCACAGAGGATTTGTCTAAATCATCATGCTTTTCATGCGGATTGATGATTATAACACCAGACGTCTCGCACCTTTGATATTGCTGTTCGTCTTCACTCTGGATATTTTACTTCTAGCGTAAGTCAGATGGTATATCATAATCTATTAGAAGTCTTAGCCACGGGATGAAATGGGGTAATGTATTCTTTTACGCCGCTTCCACATGGCAATTTACCGCAACGTACCATATAGTGGCTCGGTCACCCTCACTAAGTGGAGTGACAACATAGTAAGACATGCAGGAAGCCGATGGAAGTATTTGTGGCATTTCTTGGGGCAGGCCTAGGTTCAGTAGTTGAATTGTGAAGGGCTGTAATGTTGATATTGATATTGACCATATAACAGGATAATTGCAGGCAGCGATGCGTTTGATCTTAGTCTCCAGAGGTGTTACCGCTTCTGAGACATTGCTTGTTCTGTGACCTGCTTTACCATATGTGATCAGGAGCTGAAGTAGCCACAAACCATCACGTGGACTTTTAGCTTGTCTAATTCTACAAAGATAAGTAATTAAGGCTTTTTCAATTTTGTAGATGGTTTCCAAAAAAATTACAGTCTCTACAAACGGAAAATATTTATTCCACAAAACGGTTAATTGTAATATAAGACCTTTTTTGCGTGTTTTATTTAAATTTATAATATTAATGTTTTTTTTTATCAGAAAAATTAATAGCGTACCTTCCCTAGTTTCCCTAGCGGTATTATTCTCGCGTAATAAGAGTCAGGAGAATTATGAACATTATTACGGGAATCTAAAAATCTATGATATCTTTGTAAAAGTAAATTAAAATTACTCGCAATTGTTTTAAAATTGTATAAATACGAATCGATAGTTTAAAATTTATATATATATAGGTACCTATTATAATCGTCTGTGTGTCTGTTAGTGATCGTGTAACTTCTGAACGAATTGACTGATTGAGGTTTCGTTTACACTACATTTGTTTTGCTGAGTCAATAAGTTATTAACAATGTTTATATTTATCGACCAAAATAACTCTCTTTGGTTAGTGCCAAACAAAAACAAAATCTGGATGCGATATAGTGGCGCTGTCGTTTGAACTTAATTACTATCCTGGACTAAATTTCCGGCGTGAATTTGAAGTGAAATTCGTCATGCAAACAACCTGAAAAGGCAGAACAACGTCTGCCGGGCTAGCGAGTCTTTATAATGGTTGGTTTATGGACATAGATGCATAAATTGAGCATGATTTTTGCATTTCTTAGTATTTGCCAATCTTTCTTTGTTGGTCGAAGACTTAAGTTCCACTGTAAGTGAATTCGGAGTGAATCTCATCGCGCTACCTACCGGATTGGGCAGAACAACGTCGTCCGGGCCAGCTCTTTTAAATATAAATTTGTAATTATATAATGAAATAAATTATTTAGGTTAGAACCTTGTACAAATACGGACAAAAGACTTACTTGGGTACTACATAGCTTTTCAAAAGTATTTTAATGAATTCTATTTTGATGTCTTATTAATGGCTAAATAATATTAATATTATAGGATCTAAATTGACGACGATTACTTTGAAAAAGTAAAAAGGAAGCTTGTAAAGTCAAATATTGCATGAATAAATTAATTTTTCCGCATGCTTTGCGACAACAAACACAATCACATGTTCTCTCTCATACAACCTATTAGGCTTTGTGGCAAGGTCATTTGATTTCGAGGATACTTAAACGAAATCACTTTATTTGTTGAGGACTCCGCCAAACCTCCAGCGTTTATGTGTTGCCCACTTGTCCTTTGTGTCGTATACGTTTATACTGTAAATAGTTCGAATTAAGTGTATTTATTTGGGTTTAATGTTTTGAAACAATTACAATTATTTACTTAATTAATGAGATTAAAGTTTTTTCATATAAATTTATAAAAATAATATCACGACCTTAACGATCTGGGTGAAATTTTGTTATATATAAGCGAAATACCACTGACTAACTGACTCATCACGAGATCTCTAAAACTATACACCCGATTGACTTGAAATTTAGTATAGTTACTCATTTCGCAATTTAGACGCTCACTAAGAGCGTATTTTACGATAGTCCCATAAAAAAAAAACTTTCTTTATATTTTACACCTAGGTTCCGCAATAGAATATTATCGTGCGCCGTGCGAAGCGAGCGGGTATCAGCTAGTTTTTTATAAAACTGAAGTGACAAACAAACTTGCAGCCCACCTGGATAGTGGCTACTGTAGCGCGTGGACACCTGCAACCACTTTCAAACAAAGAAGGACAAAGGTCCGCATCACAGGCTGTAATTTACTTTTCTTGTAAAAGACCACTCCTAGACATTTTTTTATAGGATGAGGGTGACAAACGAGCACACAGTCCACCTGATGGTAAGTGGTTGTTGTGGCCCATAGACATCTACATCTATCCTCGATTACGAATCAAAATGCAGATGCGTTGTCACCTGTGAGGACTAAGATGGAATGCCTCGCTTTCAGTACAAAAGGTCTCCGATTCTCTACACTCACCATACGAAACACAACAGCGTTATGCTGCTATTTTGCGCTGGTATTCTGTGAGAGCGTCCCTGGTCGAGCCGACCCATTCGTGTTACATCTATACCAGTAATATAGTCTTGTGTTTTCTGTTTTGTAATTAACTTATAATTATTATACTTGCTTCATATACTCTACAGACCGAAACGCAGCAATGAACTGCTACTCCGTGGCAGAAATAGGAAAGAGATTGGTACCTAAATAGGCATACTCCTAGGCATAATGCTTTACTTTCCAAGTTTTTTCTAGATAGGCTTCTTTTCTGAAAAAAATATAATTGTTTTTTCTAACGGTGAGCAAAGACCGGTCGCCCGGGTACTTTGAGTTTTATAAATATCACAATACGCGAGCAACCCAGGCTCGGTCCCCGCCAACACCATTGATATTATTAATTGCAATTTTAAGTGATGATTTGCCACATACTCGGCTATAAAGGCATATATCGTGAGAAAGCCTGCATGTTTAAGAAATTTAAAAAAAATAAAACATGTGAAGTCCGCACACCAAGCATTATTACAGCGTGGCTAACATATCATTGCGATTAAGCCCTTACAGAAATTAGAGGAAGCCTGTGCTTAGCAGTGGGACGTATATAGTAAGTTGTAATTTTATTTTACTTTACTTTTTAAAAGTACGCTTGGTTATAAGGATTAGAGCACGGAGGTACTATAAATACTGACAGGAAGGCTGTAAACAGTGTATTTAGAAGTTAATACCTGAATAAATTTGAGCGTTGAACTAATACTTTGGACGCCTATCTGGTCAGGGTGGGTTTCGAAGCCCAAGTCTGATTTAAGCAGGTATACAAATTACCAAACCAGATATAGTCGGTTAAAGAGTTTACAACTAAAATTATGAACGAACTTGTATGTCATTATGATATATAGCCCTCAAAACTAAGCATATTAAAAACATATTTAAAAGTTTCGCTTTTACGCCCCTGCGTTACGTCTGAAATTATGTTTACACTACACAAATAAATAAGTTTTCTTTGAATAAAGGAAATTATAAGATACCTACGTATATTAAGGTAAGGTAATGTAAGTAAACATACCGTTTGTGAGTGCTGTAGATAACATTAATTTTCGACGTAAATTAGTACCATAGCCAAATCGCAAAGCATTTGTTTGCGGTTACACAGAAAGTTACGTAGCTAACATTTTGTGAAAGGCATTTTTATTTAGAGTATATCGCTTATAGAATTCAT